TGACGCCCAGGATCCATCTCCAGAACCACTCCACTCTCTTTACACCAGTCAGCTGATCTGAGACCACTTTTGGCATTCTTGCTAATGATTGCTGAAGACTGAAGTGGGGTGAGAGCAGCTAAATCAGCAACTGACATTTTCAGTATAATTTTCAGATCAAAATGTAGTGCTATCACTGTTGATTACATTAGAGATGACACAATACCACTTATGCAAATATTAAAAGTATGTATACCCCCTGATACTGATACTGATCCAGGGTTTATTTTCTTTACAAACTACTAAGCTTTAAAATGATCTCCTTTAAATTGAAACACTTCACTTAAGATCCAAAAGTAGGCTACCATGCTCAAAGTACTTAAACACTGCACTACCCCACAGTAAGAAATGCACTGCTAACAACATCACATTACACAGTGTGAGCATGTGCTATTTTAGGATAGATTTATTACAGGATCTGATCAGATTCATCCTTTTTTTTAACTCCAGTATCCCATCTAATACTTTCTGATATTGACCTGATGCTGATATACTGATACCTGCTATCAGATTGTTTCCGTTTATGTAGTAAGAAAGTAATCTACCAGTTATTTTGACAATTAATCATTTTCAGGGCTTAATATTAAAAATGGACTTAACCAAGCAATAACAAACCTATGAATATATCACTGCTGTCGGAACAAAACATTGTATCTCCAAAATGACTTTACAGGAGAAGGAAAAGCCATACTTTGTTTTTAATGTAGGTCAATGGAACCAGACTTTTCTCCAAGTCATTTTGGGTCATTTCCTTCAGTCCATTCATCATGAGATTTACACACAATGTAAAGGGAAAAAACAGGCATTTGCAAAATATGGCAAAAACTGAAAAACATACAAGGTTTTGTTCTGACAGCAGTGATATGTATTATATATATATATATATATATATATATATATATATATAAATATATATATATATATATATATATATGCAACCAGTTTATAAGACTAAATATATATATCTGTTGTCGGAAGAAAACCTTGTATCTCTGTTTTTCAGTTTTTGACATAATTTAAACATTGTGTTTAAATTTCATGACGAATAGACCAAAAGAAATGACCCAAAATGACTTGGAAAAAGTTTGGCTCCATTGACTTACATTAAAAGTAAAGTAGTTTTTTTCTTCTCCTGTAAAGTTGTTATTTTGGAGATACAATGTTTTCTTCTGACAACAGCAATATATATACCAATTAATGTATCTGGTCTATATCTCTGCTGCTGAAAACCTTGTATCTTTATGTTTGTCGTTTTTCACTTTTTTTTGGCATATTTTGAAAATGCCTGTTTCTCTTTACATTGTGTATTATATATATATATATATATATATATATATATATATATATATATATATATATTTATTTATATGTATAGATATACACATTCACACACACACACACACACACACTATATATATATATAATATATATATATATATATATATATATATATATATATATATAGTGTGTGTGTGTGAATGTGTATATCTGTGTGTCTGCCCTGTGATGGACTGGAGACCTGTCCAGGATGTTTCCTGCCTTCTGCCCAATGAGCACTGGGATAGGTTCCATATATATATATATATATATATATATATATATATATATATGGGTTACAACAGGTTCTGTTTCTTACACACTGTAAATATGATTCAGTGTTAAAACTTAAAAAGAAGTAACCTGGTTAGCTTAAATTTAATTTCATTGAACTTCTGTTAGCAGGTTAACAGAACAATAATCTGTTTTTTCTTTCTGTTAACTTATTTTTTAACGTTCAATGAAGGTTACTTTTTAAGTTAAAGCACTGAATGTGTCTTAACATGGCAGTAAGACAGGCCAGCAGTAGAATATAAAATATGTATTATTATCATTCATATTGTCAGCTAATGATTGTGATTTATTGAGGGTGTACACTTTAATCAATTATTTGTTTTTAATATAGTAATCAAGTTCAACATTGTTCCCAGCCATATTAGAACAGTATTAGAATCAGCCCAGCATGATTCCCTTACTATTTACTTTAGGGTTTTGTTTTACTTATTATTCTACATGGTGCTACATATACAGACAGCTCAGCCTAGTTAAGACATGAACTCAGTGCCAAAATACTGAAATTTGACAGATGCTCTATGTGTGGAAAACTAGTATTAAAAAACAGCAGAGAAAGTGCCACTCTGTGTCCAGTTAATGCCATCATGTCCTGTGGCACAACACTTAGGGACTGCTGATGCAATGCTAAGTCAAGAAGGAGTACTGCGCCTTGATGCTGAGCCAAATGTACAACTCTGCTCTCCTCTAATGGAAATTGTTCTCTTATGAGTTTAGCATTGATTACTGCACATGACCCCCGTTAGCTTAACTGCGAAAATGTTTATGGTTAAATGGATTCATAATAAAAAAGACAGAAAAAAGAAGTGTGGTGCTCAAGCACAGGTGAGAGTTTTCATGATGTAAGTCAGAGAGAGATTCCAGAGGGCTGTTCCTGTCACTGCGCAGAGAGAGAAGCACTGTTCTGTGTGTGTGTTGTGGCAGATATGAAGAGAGTCAGCTGTCACATGTGCTCATCATTATTAAAGACTGACTTTCATCTCCCACACACTGACTTTAAAAGAAAGTAAAGTGCTTTCTAGCTGTCCTGCTGCACAAGTACAAATGTTTGATTGGTGAAAGCTATTGTTCTGAAAAAATATGCATTTCTTTTTTAAGAGCCATTTAACATTGTTACGTTATGCCCCCAGTGTGAGATGCTCCGATCTTTACTCTGCGGACTCAATCGAGGGGACAAACCTAACCACAACAAATTTACTAATATTGAAATTTCATCTGGGTGATGGCACTCCGGAATGTATTCTCCCAGAAAGTGGGGTGGAGTGGGGTGATTGTTTTTGTCATAGGATATTAGAGAGTGAATAAATTGATTTTGAAAAGAAAAAGGATTTTCCTTTTATGTGAAAGTAAAGTTAGACCTTTGGGGTAACAAGACCCCACAGACAAGGGGTAAAGTGCCCCCTTTAGCATTCAGCCTTGTAATATTATGTAGAATTTTATTAAAAAGTCACAAAGTTGTTCACTATAATTCCACTGACTAGTTAGCATTAGCTTTGCTTGGTAGCTGTAGCATTTGTTAGCAAATAGGCAACATTTTTAGCCCTCTTGCTGGAGTTTGTATTCGAGTTGTGCAGTGAAGAAGTTACATTCATACCAATTAAATTAATTTACATAAGATCATTAATATAACCACAATAACTAGTTGATAAAAAATGGGATATTTCTTATGTTTCTGTTTTACTGTCATTTGTCTTCTGTCATAGTTTATTACAGTGAAGTGGAGCACATAAAAAATCAATTTCCCAAATTTCATTTTAAATTATTACATTTTACTGTTGTGCCTCAATTAAAACACAAGGTTTAAAAGAAATAAAGTCATTGAGTCAGTGAGTTTGAGTTTTTCTTTTACTAACTACAGGAAAAGACTTTAAAATGACTGTCTATAGTAATCAAACATATGCTACAGATTGATGCTGGAGTTTTTCTTCATGTTTTGTATACATAACATTTATGTAATAGTTCCGACAGCACAGTCTAATTGGATGACGTGCTCTAGCCATGCAGCTATATGTGAAAACAGCATTTTTTTCATACGACTGAGCCACTGAGCGCCGTTTGCAGAGTAACAACTTGCTGTATGCTGCAGCTGACTGTTACTAATGTTCTACTTTAGCACATAGAAAAACAGAAAATGGATACATTAGAGAACCTCTATAGATGAGTTTCCTGTTTACCAACATTACTGGGTGCACACACAGCCAGGGGGCAAAACCACTTTGGTAACCTAGCCTTTCACAAGGATGTAACATTAGTCGAAGGTTGTAATCAACATAGATTTCACATTGTTGTAAAGTCTTGTTGACTCAACAATAAAACGTAATTTCAAAGTTGAAACTTTTTGTTTGTATTTCATTTGTATATTAATATAGCATTATGTAAAATGTTAGCTAACAATGGTTGACTATCAGAATCAGAATGTTTAGCTAATAGGAGTTATCCAAATCACAGAAACCTTCATAGCTTGCTGACATGTCCTATGAATTTCTCCCAACTTACCTGGTTTAGTTGTTTGTTGAGCCTGACTGTCTTCTCCCTATTTGACATTTGACATTGATCAGCTGACTTCAGCCCTATCTAAATCATCATATCAGAAAATGCTACCAGTATTAAAACTGCAGTCCGGATGTGTTGATAGTGACCGAGATTTTGAGTAAACATTGGAGGCCTGGGGTTGAAGGTAACAGCCCTTGGTCCTGACAATAGCCAATCACCCTATCAAAAAACAAACAAACAAAAAAAAACACTACATTTGGATACAAAGTGGGCACTGCCCAGACTTTCACTGCTTTTGGGACTGTCAGGACTCCAATCTGCCCTTTTGATTGCCTGGATCCATAATCTTCTGCAGTGTTTGGCAAAAGGATGTGATCCCCTTGGGATATTAACCATTCTCCAACGATCTTCTCTGCAGTTGGTGCAGTTTACTGCACAGCAACTCCTTTTGTTATTGTTGCTTTTTGCCATAAAGAGCCAGAGCTGCTTTCTGCCATAAAGAGTGCCAGTTTCTGTTGCTTTCTTCACCCTAGTTGCGTGCGCGCCTCCATGATGATGTTGCACAGAAACCTGTCTATAAGATAATATGTGACCTGCTGAACATCAGATTCTTCAGGAGAGTGTGACAGCAGGACTGCATCAATTTCCGAATCTGTTCTTGTTCCTAAGCAAACTTTTCACTCAGCACCTGTGACGGCAGAACAGCTAAACATACTGGAATTAGCCAGAAACAAACAGAATACAATCCAGCAAACATGATCAGAAGGCTCTGAAACGCAGCCTCAGTTTTCATCTGTTGTTGTCACATTATTGCGTAATCATATATGATTGTACCTGATATTTCTGTCTTTCTCTCTCAGGAGGATGAGTTTCACGCTGATGGCGCTAATGGCAGAGATCAGTCCGAGATCCGGAAGTTTCTCTCTCAGAAGCACAAGAAGTTGCCATGGAAACCTGAGGTAAGGGCACATCGTTGCTCTTTACTGTTATTACGAATTTGGCACAGTGATGATCACCACAGCTTGTGTGCGTGTGAAGCTTTTGACAACTCCAGGTGTTAATGGGAAGTATGTGGTATCTTCCAGCGGTCCCGCATCCAAAATCTGACATTAGCATCACAGTTTTAGAGTCACTTATTCTCTGATGGAACAAGTATGCTTGCTTCTGTGAGCCGTGTTTTCTTTTGTTCACAACTCCAGGCCTGGGTTACAGCTTTGAGCAGAACGTGTTGTATTACTGGATTAAGTGGACTCAGCTTCATGGCCGTGTAGATCCACTGGACCTCTGAGGCGGCTGCGCTCCAACTTTAGTATGTCTGCTCTTGTTTGAGTAAGATATCTTTGACTGGTTCAGCTGCCTCAGGTTTCTGTTTCATTGGTTGCTGATTGGATTGAAGAGGCAGACTTCATTCGCCGTGCGGTTTCTGAAAGCCTATTTGAGACATCATTTCAGGCAGCTAGCAGCGCTGTGGAATTACCTTTCTAATCATTGTTGCCTAGCCTCGGCTGTCTTCTTCAAAATTATATGAGCGGAGCATGTCTGGTAATTTACTGTGAACTCGAGAAGCATTACGACAAATCAGCCAATAGACTTTCAGCAGAATGATTGACAGCTAAGCTTGTTGTGCCTCATTTGCCACAGGCAATAAGGTTAGTGATACAAACAAACCTCCTATAAACAATGTGAGAATGTGCTTTGATTTATTGACTGGAGTTGTTATAATGGTATAATGTGTGTTTTTGTGTTTTTGTGTGATTATGCACGCCCAGTATTTGTAATCCTCTTCCTGTGCCACACAATGGTGCCCCCAATCTGGAAGTGTGAAAGCTGCTTACATTATCTACATTAAATATGCAGCCTGCCGCTACATCTCGAGCCATGTCCTTTTTATTTGTTCAGCAGATTGTTTGTTGATACAGTAGATGTTTTCTGCCCATTATCTATGCAGCATCCCAACATGTAGACAAGAATGAGAGTCATTAAAGGAGTAATTTCAATGAAAAAGTTTTTCTTTACCTGAAATGTAGCATTAGCCAAGACAAGCGAACAAGTACAATAATATCAAATAGACTTGCTTTTCTGACACTGTATGACACACTTATCTATAAATATAGACAACAGTACTGTATTGTCTATATTTATATAGATAGACGTGTTTTCAACAGTACTTCATGATTGCTGCTTCTACTGTTTTTAGCTATGCAATGTACCTTTGTCGATATTTGTAGCTACATTAATACATTTGTGATAAGAGATAAATTGTGTAAGTTTGATTTTTCACCAAACTGTTATATCTTTAATCCCTCAAATGGCCAGTACTAATATTAATTATTACAAACTTGCATAAATTAAGAGTAACTCAGCCAGTTTGCATTGTAGTCCATGTCGTTACTGTATAACAAGCCTTATTGTAAGCCTAATGCGTTAACCTTCAGAAGTTTATAGTTATTATTGTCATTTTGCTATAGATGTGATCTATATTACATATTTTAGGTATGAATATGTACAGTACTGTGCAAGAGTCTTAAGCACCTAAGAAAATAACACGTAAAGCCATTGATCTGGGCAGAAAGCATTTACTTGTGAAAAAATAACAGAATAAATACAAATAAGCAATTAAACAAAACACTTCGCCTCATTCATCAACTGTTCTTAGGAAGAAATTTCTTCTTAAAACCCACTTACGTAGTTTTCATGAAGATTCAAACGTTCAACAATGTTTTTATTCTCTGTGCACATGTTGCCCTGAAAAAAATATGCAGATAATCACAGACTTCCTGCTACATTTTACTGTTAATTTGTATTTATTCTGTTATATAGTGTTTTTATTGGTACGCTTACTGCCATAATAAAAAATTTATAGAATATTATTGTCTGCCCAAGACTTTTGCACAGTAATTACACTGTAATTACATAAATAATTAAGTTAAGGATTTGCTTAAGGATGTAATTACATTTACATTGGATTTACATTCTTTATTAACAGGCCTGAGTCTGCACTTCTGATATTTGGTTTGTTTCAGATTGATGGAGAATGTGTTGTATACGGTTCTTTATGGAACCTTTTTGAAAAGGGTTCTATATAGTACCAAAAATGGTTCTGCTATTGTTAAGATACAAGCTTGTAACAATAGAAGAACCCTTTTTGGTGCTATATAGAACCATCAAAAAGGTTCCATATACCACCATCTATAGCACTTTCTCCATTATTCCGAAGCGATGCAAAGTACAATTTAATCATGCAAAGCATTCTTTGAATGTTTATGGTTCTTTATAAAACCATTTCCTTTTCTAAAGAACACTTGAAGAACCATCTTTTTTAAGAGTGTAGAATTGATATTTCAATGTAAGTGTAAGTGTAAAGCCCACTCCCAACAACATATGTCATAAAAATAATTTCACAAGGCGTCTATAATGTGTTTTGCAATGAAACCCTTCAATTCGTCTCTTCTTCTTACATATACAAATGTGGCAATACTTTAACATCTAGAATCTGAACTTATTCTATGTTACTCTGATTGTTTCAATTAGTTCAGAGTGAGAAACAATTAGACAGAATTTTAGAAGAGCCTTTCAAGGCGTTTGTACCATGTGGGACCTTGGAGGGTTAAACATGGCAAGAGCAGCTGAAGAGTTGGTCTGGTGTTGTGTGTGAAAGAGCTACGGGGCTGACACTGTCAGTGACGGAGATCAGGCACGCTAGATCCAGAGTGCCACCGTCTGCCAAATGCCATTACGCTGTAATGAGCTGCTACAGGCGAGATGCAGGGCCGCTGGGCCGCGGGGCCGCTTCTGCAGCTAATTACCGCACACTCTCAGCTCTACAGCCAGATACAGAGCAGCAGAGCTGAACAGGGTTAACTTGCCCATCCCACATTATAAAATGACACCCATACAAAAACTGTCAAACAGAATATTATATCACAGAGATGGACCTTCATTCAGAACGCTGTGCAGCAGAGATGTTCACAGGTCGATTGTTCATGCAAGTCTGGTCTGCAGTCTTTAGTGGAGAATTTTAGTAGTCTTGTTATTTGCTGCAGGCCTGAACAAAAGTACAAAGGTAAATCCTTAAAGACCTGTCACGGCTTCAAATAATAGGCCTTTCATTATGGAAAAACCTTCAGTCTTAAGGACAGAACTGAGGTGTAAATGAGGTGTTTAAAGATAAGAGGCAAAACAACTTTGAGTGGTCTGAAGTTTATATAGCACATAAAGTCGCTGTCCAGGAAAAGAATTGTTGTTGGTTTTTGTTTTTCTGCTCTCTGTTTGAACACAGCGGCTGTCCTTCACATTGGGTGAAAATTTCATGATGACTGAGCCAATAGAAATGTTCCAAAATGACTGAAATAAAACATACTTACATGAACTTACATAAAAAATTGGGAATGTTTTTTGCCTTCTGTAAAGTTACTCTTTTAGAGATGTGTTTTCTCTGACAAGGACAATATGTTAACTTCATATCAGACTAAAGTGGGTGTGGAAAGGGGGAGGGGCTTATGTTTTGTATGTGACATATTTTTTCTGAAGTTGTTTATGAATTCTGGGGGTTGTGATTATTAGGACTTATTTTATTTTTTATTTTTTATTTCTTGTTTACTGTATTCTCTGCTTCAGTGCTAGCAGCCCAAAGCAGTTTGGCTGAGATTTTGCTCTTGGTTTCTCTCCTCTGTGGCCTGCTTTTGTCCTTGAGACACAGCCTGTGATAGTTGCGCGGACATTTTGACAGCCACATTGACCGCTGACCCCAGTAGCCCATGGGTGAACAGATGACCAGACTGAGACTGGACTCACACACTGTTATTTATAGCAGAGAGTGATTGGCAGGGTAGAGCTCTGGAGAGACTGGAGCGAGCCTTATCAGGGTCATTGAACACAATCTGTCATTTAAAAATGACCATTCATCCCATTCAGACTGGAACCAGATGAAAGAGAAGTTATTAATGAGCTTTTATTAGTTCTTTATAAATTCATTATGAAAATAGTGATAATGAGGAGGATGTGAGTGGAGTTTCAGAGCTTTGATGGGTTTGTGTGGAATAATGCTTTGCATGATGACTCTGAAAGCCTGTTTATTCATTCAGAAGCTCAGTCAGTCTTTCTGCTCTCAACACTGAGACTGGAAACAGGAAAAGCACACAGCCTTCTTCATGCCCTTCATTTGTTTCTTCATTCTTTTGTTCACTCATTCTTCTTTTTTTCTTTCTTTCATACCTTTCTTCCTGTCATTCTTCCCTTTCTTTCTTTCTTCTTTCTTACCCTGATTTCTTTCTTTCTTTCTTTGTATTTTGTTCTTTGTTATTTTGTTCTTTCTTTATTTTTCCCTGTCCTTCTTCCTCCATTTTCTTTTTTCTTTCTTTCTTTTTGTTCTTTATTTTTTTTTGCTCTTGCTATATTTTTTCCTGTTTCCCTTCCCTTGTTTTCTTTCTTTCTTTCTTTCTTTCTTTCTTTCTTGGTTTATTTCTTCCTGTTCTTCTTCCCCTGTTTTCTTTCTTTCTTTCTTTTTTTCTTTCTTTCTTTCTTTCTTCTTTCTTTCTTTCTTTCTTTCTTTCCTTTTGTTCTTTCTTTTTCTTTCATTCGTGCTTTATTTCTTTCTGTTCTTCTTCCCGTTTTCTTTCTTTCTTTCTTTCTTTCTTTCTTTCTTTCTTTCTTTCTTTCTTTCTTCTCTCTGTTCTTCTTCTCCTGCTCCTTCCCTCCTTTCTGTCTCCTTTGAGCTGCTTCTGAAAGCCAGTGTAGTGCAGCAGTTATCCACAGCCATTATACACCATTAGGCAATCAAGGTGAATGTGAGTTATATTGCAGCTCTCTGGTGGGCCCTGATTACTGCAGGAGTGAAAGGTGATGTGCAGATGAGAGCTGATGTCTACTTGTCATCTATAATACAGTCTCATCTATATGAGCGCATTGTCTCCATGGTGGCGGTGTGTGTGTGCTGGAGGTTGCTTGTTAAACTGTAGTC